AATTTCTTTCAACATGTCCAAAAATCTTTGGTATTCGGCATTGAGCTTCTTCTTTATAAACTTTTGAGGATACAGAATTGGAGGGACTTGTGAAAGCACTGTTGATGGTGGCTCTTCATGAGATGATTCTTTTTCCTCATTCACTTTCAGCTTCTCGATTACCGTGTTTCTCTTCTCTTTTCGTGGGGCTTCCTCCAATTGCTTACCGTTCTTCAAGGTGACTGTTTGGCATGTCTCGACCTCGATCTTTTTCGTTAGCAATCTTTGTGGATATGGGATTGGTTCCACCCATGCAGCTACAGTGACTTGCGGCTTGACTTGAATTTCTTCCCTTTTCTCGATCTTGACATCGATAGCTTGGCACGTCTCGAACTTTTGCTTTCGAGGATCTTCCGTATTCGATGGTAATGCTCCCGCCGGACGGTTCTCTTGATTCACAACAAATTGAGCAAATTGATTCTCCGAATTCCGCAGCGAGGCTTGGGTAGCGGTCAAAAATTTGGCCAATATCTCATATGTTTTTGATTTTTGGGCCGGTGGATTGTTGCCTTGATAGCTTTGTTGAGGAGGGGCTTGATTTTGGAATTGACTTGAGGTCTTTGATATCCTTGGCCTTGTTGATTTCCTCCATATTTCCCTTGTGATCTCCATCCTTGATTTTGGAATTGGCGAGGCGCGTTATTGACGTAGTTGAGGGATTCCACATCTTGTTGGCATTGGAGCGTGCAGTGATTTCCACCGCAAATTTCACAACATGGAGAATCAATTGCTTGGACTTGCTTTGATGTGCTGTAGAAGGAGTTGATTTTGTTGAGCAATTTGGGTCACTTGAGCTTGAAGGGCCGTAATTGCATCTAACTCCAACACTCCGGGAACTTTCTTGGCTCCACTAACCGTCCTCTCGCTTGACTTGGCAAACCGATTTTGTGCAATTTGATCCAACATAATAAATTAATCTGGTATCGATTGACTCATAAAATTACCTCCAGTTGATGCATCTAAGACGGTTCGTGCATTTTCGTTAATCCCATGGTAGAAGATGTGGATTTGCCGCCATTGTTCGACTCCATGTGTTGGACACTGCCTCAAAAGGGTCTTAAATCTCTCCCATGCCTTGTATAATTGCGCACCTTGTTCTTGGACAAAATTTTGAATTTCCCGTCATATTCTCTCGTTTTTTTTCTGGTGAGCTGTAAACTTTCATGAAAAGGTTTAGGAGTTGAGGCCACGACGAGATAAAGTGGGGGGCTTGGGACATCAACCACTGGCGAGCTCTTCCTTGTAATGAGTGGTTGAAAAGAATTAATTGAAGCGCCTCTTGGTAAACGTCGTTTTGACGATGGGAATTACAGGTATCTAGAAAATTGACAATGTGAAGATGGGAATCTTCACCCGCCAATCCACTAAATAGCCCGTTATTTTGGAGCATCGTCAATAGGCCTTGCTTGATCTCAAAATTGTGCGCCTCAATAGGTCGATATTGGATGCTCGGGCGGAATCCGTCGAGAGTTGGGATTATGTAATCTTGAAGTGCCCGTGGCCTAGCTGCTGGCTGTAATGGAAGTTGAGGGGGTGGGTCTTGGATGCGAATTCCATTCGCATGGAGTAAATGACCCTCTGCGTTTTTGCGTTCTTCGTCTGTCATTATATGGCTTGCACGTTAACGTCTCCTAGCGGCTCGAAAAGTACGTTCGATTTCGGGATCAAACGGTTATCTAGCAAGATCGAGTCTCCAGTGCATGCACAGTACCTAAAACAAAAATAAAATAAAACAAAAATAAAATAAAACAAAAATTAAATGGGTGAATCGTGAAAATTGTTCGAATCTAGAGCTAGAATAAAATAATAATTAAAATATTTCCCGGCAACGGCGCCAAAAACTAGTTGGTTGTAATACCTACACGCAAGTGCACGTATCGTACAAGTAATATAGTGGACAATTAAATCTGGATATCGAACCCACAGGGAATATTTAATTACTTAATCCTAGACGCTAAATTCTAGCAATTATTATCAAGCCCACCCTACACAATAGACTTAGAGATAATTAACTAAATTAAACTAAATTAAAAGGCAAGCAAAAACAAGAAGGCAATTTAAAACGAAGATTTAATCAAGGTAAGCAAGCTTAGGATTTTATTCTTCCCCCTATGTGATTATTACTTCCCCAATTCCTTCAATTATGCAAGTAATTAGCCAGGATTATTAATATGAGATGCTAATTAATTCTAACCCGCTTTCGCGTGTATTACGATTCTAATACCCTAGATTCAATTATTGTATTTCTACGCAATTAATTCTAGTACATAGCATTAAACACAAATCTCAATAATGGCTATTTAAGAGATTAACCATATTCCTATGTTAATACCACAGAGGCTCTTCTACCACAGTTCTAATTATTAACCCGATCTCCCGATTCATGCGATTAACAATAACATAAAAGCGCATAGAGTGGCCAGTTTCATGAACTTAATAAAACAAGTAGAAGAAATAATCCGGAATTAAAACTTGCATAAAATCATAGAAAAAGGTTCATAAATCCCACATAGGGTTCCAAATAAAATCCTAGAAATAAGACAATTAGCTACTCATGATTAAAGTAAAAACGCAAATAAAACAAATCATAGACGATAAATCTATGCTTGGAGTCTTCGAATTCTTCGTCTTCGTTATTCCTTTGTTGCTCTTGAAATTGCGTAAAAGATGAATCTCCAATTGTGTGCTTGGCTTGGTCTTATATAGGGTGAAAAACTTGGGGAATACGGCATTTTCCTTGTGAAATTAAAATCCCTTTACTGCGCTGCCTCATGGTCTCGGACGGCCGTCCCATATTTTAAACTAAAACTCGGACGGCCGTCCGGGCTTTAAAACTTCATATTTTTTACTTTTTCACTTTTGGCCCATATTTTCCCCAAAATTGTAGTTTTGACCCCATACTTTTCCAATTCTTCAATTTATTCCTAAAATACAATAAATCAACTTTTTAAGCATCAATTATCGTTAAAACATACCAAAAGTTCAAATAAAAAGGTACAATAAAGTGTAAAAATATACGGATGACACATTGTCCAAATTAAAGCCATTGGATTATGTGATCTTTGTTTGGACATTTGAAGAGATATATATATATATATAATAAGATCCACCAACAACTCTATTTGGATATCTCGTCCCAAAACCAATATCCCTTTTTTTTTGTACATATGACAATTCAGACCATAAACAACTTTAAATCGATCATTTTAGGACATACTAATTGTGACTTGTCTATTTAATTTAAGGGAAAATTACACTTCTCGTCAATTTTTCGTTAGTACTATGAGAAACAAACATGTGCCAATCATTCTCTTTAACTGATGGGCTAACAGTCATTTGGCAGAAATGAACACATGTTTTTAAATTATTCATACATTTGAAGGACTAATCTGTTTTTTTTTTAACAAAGGGGATCGAATGTGCAATTGAGATAAACTTGAGGGACGAAAAATTGTATTTTTGTCATTTAGTTAATTTATAATAATGCTAGTTGTGAATCACAATTATAAGTATTCTCAACATGATATATACTACAAAAATTGTGAAGGTGTAGAGAGTCAACTCGCATGCTTGATGACTCATAGTTCATTGCATGCTTGATGACTCATAGTTCATACTATAACCATGTTTTAATAGCTTTAGTATCAATAATTAGTACTAAACTATATGATGTATGACTTCTTTATTATATTCAACCTATAGTTAACCGAAATACATTCTCAAATATCCTAAGTTGACCTTTCGCTGTCAATTAAAAAAGACATCTCGTAACGGATATTAATCAATTTTTTAGAATTCGAATCATGTGTAAATGAATCGAGTCGATTGCTCAACAAAAATCCGAATTCAGAAGCTTGAGCTTATGAGAGGTTAAACTCGTCCTTATTTATATTTGTTCAAAAACTCATAAACCTACTAGTGAATTTTAATAAATAATATAATGAAATATATATATATATATTAGTAACAAAATTAATATTGAGTTTGAATCATAACCAAACAAAAAAAAGCTCAATAACCTCAAATTCTATAAAATATACTCCAATTTATTAATTCAAACTTAGGTAGTTACCAATTCCCTTTTTAAGTATTTAATGATGATAGTGAATTTAAACAAAATAAAAATCATAGTATTTTTTAAATTGGCATAAAAGAATAAAATCTAACCAATTAGAAGTGATGTTAGTTATATAATCAAAACAAAAAATAACACAAACTTGACGGGACTAATTCCAATGATAGGTTTGCTTGCGTACTTGTAGAAATTAAAATAAGGTAAATTACAACCACATCCCTGAAGTAAAGTTTATTAATAAAAAAACCCTTATATTTTTGAAATTACATCTAACCCCCTGTAGTTTGTAAATTTCTTACATACATCGCCTATAAATCTATAGTTCTATAAAAGGTTTTTAATGCAATAAATCTATAAATTACTGGAAATGGATGAGATTATCGAAAATGAGGGGTTTTATTGTAAATAAACTTACCTTAGGGGGCAATAGTAATTTACTCAATTAAAAAACCATAATATAGAGTGGCCCAACCATTGGACCAAGCCCACCTACCTACACTACCTCACCACCACACAAAATTATTAATTTTCTGACGATTATACCCTCAATTTAGATTCAGATTCCTTTGTACTGTCCTTTGTGCAATCCAAGGGCCATTTTTCTTTCACCATCACCCATCAATTTTTCTTCTCCTTTATATATATATATATATTAATAATAATTAATTGAAATTGATATGCACTTTTTAATTAATTCTTTAAGATAAAATTTAAATTCATTTAAAAAAAATTAAAATAATTACAAATATTGAAGTTACCGAAAAAGTAATAATAATAAAAGAATAAAAGGAAAAAAGGGTTTTATAAATGATTATCCAAAGTACAACCAAGTAAAGCGTGAGGTACACTAGAAAAGGGAGAATCGCAGAGAATCAAAACTCTGTAAATGAATATATAGTAGTATTAAAAGCAGGTGAAAATGAAGCAAAACAAGCTCACACTCTTTCGCGCATACACGAGCCGTCATTTATAAACCCCAAACACACACACACTCACTGCGTGCCGCATTTCCCCCTTTCTCTCCGCAGCCGTCGACCGCCGTGCCGAGGAGTAAGAGATAGTGGCGCGTGGATTGTTTTCGTATTGTTGATCGCTGACTTAGGGTTTTTGAAATTAATTTTTAGACCATTTTTTTTTTTAATTTTATTTTTTGGGGATTTTTTTTGGGGGATTTGATGGCGTCGGAGGATGTGAAGACGAGTGAATCGGCGGTGTCGAAGATTGTGAATTTCGCGGAGGAGGCGAAGCTTGCGAAGGAAGAAATCAAACCTACTAAACATCAAGTTTACAGTATTTGCAAATCTCTGGTCGCCGGTGGTGTTGCTGGAGGAGTGTAAGCACTGAATTTGTTTACCATATTTATGTTTGTGCATGTGAAGCTGCGTTACGATCAAATTTATTTCGATTTTCCTTTTTATCTTTTCGGGATATAGCCGGTCAATTTTTCGATTGGTTTGTTTGATTGGGGAATCTTTCCATTATTCAATCGTACAGGTTTGCTGCAAGAAAATGAATCTTTCTTGTTGGAATTTGGTTATCTTAGCAGTGAATTTTGAGCAAAATGAGACTGTGATTCCAAATTCCCTCTTTTTCTTTTTTTTTTTCTTTTACTTTCATGTATGGAAATGAAGGTTTTTACTTGGAGAGAGAAGGCGAAATATTTAAACTTTTAGTTGAGCACAGTGAATCGCATGTCCCAATATTTTTTGTTTCTTTTTAGGTTTTGTTCTTCTCTTTTCTATAGACAAGTACATCTGAAACTTCAATGATGAAGGAGCATATGGGTAATATATTTTCCCCTATAGTGGAGGAGTATTTGAGATGGAAGCATGATTAGGAAAAAAATGTTTAGCATTTCGTAAACCATTGATAATTGAAAAGAGCTTGTAAAAACCAGTGATGCTTGTTATTCTAGCTTTTAGCTTACTGATGCAATAGACATTGATAATCGATTTGCTGAATGTCTATTGCAGGTCACGAACTGCCGTAGCTCCTCTGGAGCGTCTAAAAATTTTGCTTCAGGTAAGTTATGTTTATTTTTAGCATCATTTTTTTTCTCATGCACCATCTATATGCTAGTAATAGAAGTAAAAGCAATGTCGCAAAACTAACAAGTGGGGTTGACATGGATTTTACTTTGATACCCGACTCATGCATCGATATGGTTTTGCTTTTTGACACATTTAGGTTTTCCAATCTGATAGAAGCATTGGCACTTTAGAATATCGTGGAAAACTACTTGTTCGTTGTATCTTATTCCCTTATTTCTGTTTGCTTCTCATCGTATGTCAGGTTCAAAATCCTCACAATATAAAATATAATGGTACTGTTCAAGGCTTGAAGTACATATATAGAACTGAGGGCTTAAGGGGGTTGTTCAAAGGCAACGGCACTAATTGTGCTCGCATTGTTCCAAATTCAGCAGTAAAGTTCTTCAGCTACGAGCAAGCATCCAAGTATGTACGATGAAATCATAGAATGTTCATAAAATGGTTTCAGATTCATTTCAGATTCATCTATTACCAAATGCCTAAGATTTTGTGAGCCTGTGCTAAATTATGATTATAGTTCTTTTCTTTGTATTTGGCATGTTAAAATGTTAGTTGCTTTATAAACTTCAATTTTTATGATGGATCAATACGGTTCACTCTGTTATTTATCCAGAAAATGTGAAGCATATTCCCTGGAGGAAGTGTTTTATGCTGTATCCTGAATACAAATAAAAAAATTGAAGCAAGTTACTGAAAAAGTTATCAAAAACATTTAAGAGATGTTGCAGATTCTAGCTTGTGACATAAGCAATAGTATAGGAAGCACATAGCGATGTTTTATGAGAGTTGGTTCTTCTCTAAAATGAAATTTTAAGTTTGCTGAGGCAATGCCTTTTGCTATGTTATGGATTGGGCTCTTGATAATTTTCTTCTCATTTCAATGCAAGAGATGCCATAATAAGGCTTCTGTAGGAATTCCTATGCTGCAATGTGATGATTTGGTAGCCGTACAGTTTTAGTTTCCAAAAAATGCCCATTTCAATTCAATCGTTTAGGTTTTTATATGACATTATGTTTCTTATTCACACATTTTCTTAATTACAATCATTCTAGAACTTACACATTCTTTTCAGCACCAAGAAACATGCCATTTTAGTGAAGCAAAGTTGCAACATTAGGAAGATTGGCATTTGTGGAAGAAAATTGTTTTTATTCTGTGATTGCAAAGCAATAAGCCGGTTCTGCAACATACCAGATGATTGCTGTTTCCAGCTTGATTTTATGGCTAGACATGAAAACTGAACCCTCGTTAATATATTTATTGTGTTTACATGATCCACATGTCCAGTTAGCATTATAATAGTAATATTATTTCTATGCTATCCTGCTGGCTTGTGAAACACCTAAATTTTCTGTAGTTGGGCATATGTATTTTTATTTATCTTGACGGTCTCTGTAATGAGAGGCATACGGTCTGGGCTTATTTGAAGATTATCTGAATATTGATAGCTATTCTGCTGAGTTAGTTTGTATTTTCTATCTTGTCACCCACTGACTTTGTTATTTGTGATGTAACAGGGGTATATTATACATGTACCGGCAACAAACTGGCAATGGTACGTCTTTTGTTTATTATCCACACAAACTTTCACTAGTTTTTCAACTATGCTACCACATAATAGAAAGTAGAAATTGTTCATGTTATAAACACTAGACATCACTCTGTACCAATTTATTTTTCTTTTGTTTTCTTAATTTGTTGAGTGGGTTCTGGGTTTTTTTTATTTGTTAAGTGGCGTTATAACAATTTCAGAACAGGAATTCAACTCCAAGGCAGTAAATATCACAATGACCTAAAAAACTGCTTAGAAACCAGATCTTCTTTTCTGAAATGTGGAGTCTCTGAGCTAATTGACCCAAAATCATGTTTTAACAAAGAAAATGGGCAAGTTATGAGTCTCATGGAGTCTCTCTTTTTTTCTTTTTAAATACTAATGCTGCATAAGAGTGCAGTGGTTCATGAATTACATTGAATTAATGTTGCTAGTCTAGCTACATATGAAATAATTTGAACTTGTATCGGAACCATGCTGTTTATTTACTTATTTCCAGTGACATATTCCAAGCTGATGAATTGCAAGTCCAAGTCTGTTCTTTCAATTATACAGTCTGAAAGGTCATATGTATGATCGAGTAATGTGTTTGTTTCAATTTGTTCTTGTAGAGGATGCTCAGCTGACTCCTCTACTACGTTTGGGGGCCGGAGCTTGTGCTGGAATAATTGCTATGTCTGCTACATACCCAATGGATATGGTTCGAGGCAGACTTACTGTACAGGTATTTTAGGGCCTCTTGAAAATGAACCTTTTGGAAGAAGATGGGCATTCTCTGATGTGCTTTTTAAGAATAATAACCATTTTTTTCTCTCTCATTACCCTTTAAGTATAATAACTGTTTTTCCCTACCTAATTTGCAGACGGATAAGTCTCCGTATCAGTACAGAGGAATGTTTCATGCCTTATCAACTGTGCTCCGCGAAGAGGGCTTTCGTGCACTATACAAAGGCTGGCTTCCTTCTGTTATTGGAGTCGTAAGTTCTGGAGTAATTGTATATATAAGTCTGGTTTAAGTATAAAAGATGTGTAAACCCTATCAAGTATTATGTGTTCGTCAGTTTGAAATAAGACAATTCTTTTTAACCCTTCAATTAATTTAAAGAAGAAAAGAGTACGGCTGTTCACCTACTTCAAGACAACGCTATTAAATCAACGCTTACCAATCTTTTCTTGCTTCGCAGAGTTAGAATTGTCCTCCTAGTGGAAGTGCTATTAACAAAATATGCTTCCACATGGTTGCTACCCGAAAATTGTGATAACTACTTGAATACCCGATTTTCTCTTTCAACTGAGTTTGCCTTCTGCTTAGTAACTCATTTTCTTCCTATCCGTTATGCAGGTTCCTTATGTAGGTCTCAACTTTGCTGTGTATGAATCTCTCAAGGATTATTTAATCAAATCTAAACCCTATGGGATTGTTGAAGATAATGAATTGGGTGTTGTAACAAGGCTCGGATGTGGTGCTGCAGCGGGAACAGTTGGGCAAACTATCGCCTACCCTCTTGATGTAATTCGTAGAAGAATGCAGATGGTTGGTTGGAATAATGCTTCTTCAATTATCACTGGCGATGGAAGAAGCAAAGCCCCCCTTGAATATACTGGCATGGTCGATGCTTTCAGGAAAACTGTCAGGCATGAGGGCTTCAGAGCATTGTACAAGGGCATAGTCCCCAATTCGGTCAAGGTTAGTCTCGTTTAATAATCTTGCTATCTGCAATTTTTTTCCCATATGCATAATGCATGTGAAACTTAAACCGGCATAAATTCCAGTTTTTGTATGGGGCAGATGGAGCATGAGTAGTTAGTTAATCTTATGAGGAAGTAATCGCTACATTTAAATGCTTTTAAATTATTAAATGTTTTGGAGGCATGACTTCATTTCTTTAAAGCGACAGAGATTGTGACTAATTTAATAGGAATCCGATTGTAGTTTACTAGCCACACTTAATCTCTCTCCACTGGTTGCATCCGAAATTTGACTTGCTTTATTAGAAATCGGCCACCTTAATTATGCATTGATTACTCAATCCATGTTGCTGAAATTCAAAGGATTAAATTATTCATGATTTTTTAAGCGGTAAATATTAACACGATACTAAGCATGTATTACTGTCTTTCTTACACAGGTTGTGCCATCAATAGCTATTGCTTTTGTGACGTACGAACAAGTGAAGGAATTGCTCGGGGTAGAGATTAGAATATCTGACTGAAAGCATGTGCACCGAGAGCTGTGACGTGTGCTCGTTGTGTGTATTTTTTGTCTGAGGAGAGGAAGAACAAATTAATGTTAAAAACACTCTTGTGCATAGAGTTGGAGACTCTGTTCTAACCTGTGTTCATACATATGTTTCTTCACCTATTTATATGTTTCGTTATGGGTTCGTTCACCGTTAGCTGCTCCAGTAGAAATGCTGTCTTAATAAAGTAGTAGCAAAGAATGATGCAATAATAGCTTTTCGATATTTTTTCTTTTTAATTTTTAAATCCAGGTTTGCTTGTTAAGTTAACTAGCTTTCGTATGGCTTTTTATTGTCAGCGGACAAAACCTCCCCGGTTTTTGGATGAATCTTTTTCTATGCCATATTTGGAAACAATTGTGCTTAGCTTCGCGTTTTTTAAACTATGTAATGTGAAAGGATATTCAACAGCTCGAAAATTCGGTCTCGATTCAGTGAGTTGCTTTGCGATTACAATTGGGAATTTTGCTTCTTTTCAATTTTATGACTATTTTTCATCATCCCCCCCTCTCTCTCTCTCTCTCTCTCTCTCTCTCTCTCTATATATATATATATATATATATATATTACCCTTCTTCATCTTCATCCTCTTTTGTACAATATATTTTATCAGCAAGGTTGCTTTAATGCATTTAAATGATTAAATAAAAAGTTCTTCAGTGTCTTGATTAATAGGTATTTAATTAACTTGTAAACCAAAACTAATGTAATAGTTGACAAAAAGAAAATAATAAAAAATAAAAATAAATCCATCATAATTCTTAAACATGGATAAGGAAAGAAAGTTGTAGACATGTCAGCATAGAAGGGGGTGGGGTGGCACGTGCGAGGACAAAGGGGGGCACACGCTTACGGCGTGGGGAGGCCGAGGCCGTAAACAGAATGTTGGGCCCTTATTGGCTATAAAGTACAACCCTAAGATGTGGTTTTTAGCCCATTTTCACGTGTTTTCTGTGGGCCTTTTCTCAATTATTATTTTAATATATTTTGGAGGAAAAATATTAATGTCTTTAAATAATTATAATTATAATTATTTATAAATAATTTGAAGGTCCAAATAATGCTTCTACGTTAAGAAACATCTTTTTAAGGTACAAATAAATATTATATAATATTATGCTTCTTTGCCTCTTGAAAAAATAAAATATAAATAAAAAAGAGAAACAAACAAACTGGTGTTTGGCTACAGCAGCAGAATCCCAGATTTAATTTGCTGCTGACAAATTAAAATTTCAAACAAAAAAATGCTAATTTTAGAAAAAAAAATATCTCCCAGGTTACTGTATTTACTATAATGCCATACAATTAGCAGAAAACTAGAAAACACTACGGACCTAGTTACTTACATTGGGTGGATTTGAACTGTACATTTAAATAAGTTACTACTAATTACTAAGCACACGTATATACATAATTCACATTTCGGATACGTAAATTGAATTGTGTGATTATGTACATATCTGTAATCCACGCTTTGTTCAGATGTACTGCTCTGCCCTTTCAATATTTCGTACCTAGTTTTCTTCTTATTGAGGAAACCATTTGTTATACAAAGGGAAATCCAATTTCCTAACATAATTCACATTTCGGATACGTACAAACCCGTTGTTACGGGCCATCTTGTAATTTTTAAAAAGTTTGAAATATCTTAATAGTAGATTTTTTTTAAATACTTATTTACTTAATTTAACAGTTTATAATTGTAAACTATCAATTCTAAAATATTTCTCTAATTATAAAATATCAATTGTAAATTGATAGTTTATAATAATATTTATTTTTAATATTAATATTTAACATGAATTTATATAGCTTATATATGTGCATAACATATTTATAAATAAACCTATATACTTTTAATGTTTCCACGCTTCTCTCAAGTTCCCGCATTTATCAGTTTTGGAACATGTTGTTCGTTTCCCAATTTCTTCGTATCGCCGTTTTCGTATCCGTACTGCACAGTATATACATATATTTATATTTGAACTTGATTGGATAAGCAATTAAGTGGACCTTATTTAATCAAACTTCAAACCAAAAAACATGTTGAAAATTAATTACTCCCTCAATTCCACAATAACTGTTCCTTTTTAAAAATATTTTTGTTCCATATTATCTGTCACTTTAGATTTCCAATACTGCATTAAATGCATTTTTTCATATTTTAACCTTATTAATTCAACTATAAGTATTAATTCTCTCTTATCACATTATTAAATAATCAAGGTTATTTTAGCCTTTCTAATTTATTTTACATAAAATCAAGACATATTTATTGAGCTTCTTATTTTTTGTTCAAAGTCAAAAACGACTCTTAATAGGAAACGGAGGGAGTAATAATTATGTTAAGTGTTGTTTGTCAATAAGTAGTAATAATACTGCACAAGTTCCCAAAAAGAAAATGCGTGCTGCTGCCACCTTAGATTGTACTATGTTACCATACACGCGCGCACGCACACACACATATGTGTGTATATATGTGTGTGTATATGTATATGTGATAAGTGTGGGTAAACGCTAAAGAACTGTAATTGAATTTGCTGTAAGAAAAATGGGCTTCTGGTAAGAACTTTCTGCATTTGTTTCTGCACGGAAACATAGGATTCAGATATAATTTAATTTCTTGTTTTTTTTCTTACATTTATATAATTTGCAGTTTGCTCAAGGAAATGGGATCCTGATTTTTCATTTTCTTTTTTCCCCAGTAAGTATTTTCTTTAATTTGATTTTGCTTCTGCATGTTAGTTCTAATTTATTTACATAAATAAATATTTGATTTTGAATTCTCTAATTAATTAAAACACTTGTATTCATTTTTTTTTTTTTTGAAGTTTATGGTTCATATATATAGAAAAGAAAAGAAAAGAAGAAAAAAATTGTGTTTGTAGTAATTTGCAATGGAGCATTCACACGAGGCAAACGAGGCAGCTAAAAATGCAGAATTAACGACGAATAATCGTAATATTTCTACCACTACTAGTAATGGGAATTCAACAGTTACCAATTTAAAGACGGTAAATGATTTTGATTTGAACAAAATCGGAGATGAAGATTTTGCGTATGAGGAAAATAATAGTAAAAATCCGTCGGAATCAGATTCGAGTAGTTGGTACAAAACTCTCTATTCTTCTAGTTTCTCCAAGTTTTTCCTCGGACAAGCTACGCAGAAAACGACAGATAGTGTCGGTTGCAAAACTCCCGAATTTTCCGATTTTGGAATTAATTTAAGAGAATGGCTACAATCCAACGGCCGTGATGCGATCAAGAACGACAGACTGCGTTTGTTCCGGCAAATCGTGCATATAGTGGACGTTGCACATACTCAAAGGATTGCTTTACTCGAATTACGGCCGTCCTCGTTTATTTTATTACAAAATGGGGATGTTAAATACATTGGTTCGATAGTGGAGATTGATTCATTATCGAGTTCGAGCCATGAAAACACGAAAAAGAGGAATCTGCACCAAGAAATTTCTTCTATCGACAATTTTCGTGCGAAGATGCAAAAAACAGACGATGAAAAATTATCGAGGCGGAACGTCTCTCAACTGGAAAAGAAGTGGTACGGTTTTCCGGAGGGGTTTAGTATCGGAGACTTGCTTCCGTTCAATATCTATTGTTTGGGGCTTTTGCTATTTGAGGTGAGAAAAAAAAATCACTTTTTTTCTCTAGAAAAACTTTTTTAAGTTTTATTTTGCTTCAATACAGTTAAGAAGTGCAAGAATTTTTTTATTTTTTTTTTTTTGCTGATTCAATATTTTGTTTTCAGATTATTTTCCAATTTGAATCGATCGAAGAACTTTCTATGGCAATGGTGGACCTGCAACACAGGATCGTACCTCCACGTTTTCTTTCCGAAAGTCCCGAAGAAGCCGGATTTTGCTTTTGGCTGCTTCACCCTTATCCTTCATCTCGTCCCACCACGAGGTACTTATATATATTTATTTTTCAAACTCGAAAACTTATATATATAATAATGTTTTATGAATTTGTGATTTACGTACAACTAATCGTGATTATGGCAGGGAAATCTTGGAATGTGAGTTGATATATGGATCCGAGAGCACAAATGATCTAAGTAACGCCGAAGAATCGACTCTCTTGCTTTATTTTCTTGATTCATTGAACCAAAAAATGCACGAAAAAAAAACTATTTTATTGGAAAATATGAAGTTACTAGATATGGATATTAAGGTGGTCGAGAGGAAACGTGCTTCTAGAAGAACTTCGGAATGTTCTAGAACAAATACGCTCCGGGACAAGTTGTTGGGAAACATCAACCACCTAGAAAACGCTTACTTCTCCGCTAGATCAAATGCCCGACTCGCCGAAATTTCGGGCAACGATCGATCCGACAAGGATGTTCTAAGCAAGCGCGATAAGTGGTCTTGGGTGGAAAGTCAAGAAAATGTGTTGACCATGGAAGAAAAGTCAACCGATCGCGTCGGATCATTCTTTGATAGTATTTGTAAGTTTGCTCGATACAACAAGTTTGAAGTGTGTGGAACATTAAAAAATAGGGAGTTTCTTGACTCGAGTAACGTCATATGCTCGTTGAGCTTTGACCGCGACGAAGAGTTCATTGGGGTTGCTGGGGTTTCGAAGAAAATCAAGATATTTGAGCTCGATTCTCTTTTGGATGCAAATATCGACGTTCAATATCCGGTTCTTGAAATGTCGAATAAATCGAAACTTAGTTGTATTTGTTGGAATAACTACATCAAAAACAATTTGGCTTCGACCGATTATGATGGCTTGGTGCAGGTACGATTAGAATTTCGTGATCGATTATACTCTTGAATTATACTTTTATTTTGTAGTTAATTAAATCATTTTCAGATGTGGGATGCGAGCACCGGACAAGTATTTGCCAGATACGACGAACACCGGAAGAGAGCGTGGTCGGTCGATTTTTCCCACGTCGATCCGACAAAGTTTGCTAGCGGTGGAGACGATTGTTCTGTTAGAATATGGAGTATCAATGAGGTATATTATATCTTTCGTATCGGAGGAAATTGGAACGGAATTTTTGCATTCCGCACATTTTGATCTGAATATTTCGATGTGGGACGACATTTTTTTATTTTTATTCCGATTTCTGATTTTTCCGATGTTTTCTAAACGGAATTGGAATACATATTTGATCCCGATTTTCCGTCCGATTTAATTTTCAAAATATTTCCGAAAGTTACACATATAATATCAGTATCTTTATTATGTATTTTAAAAAAATTGGAAATTGTGAATTCCACCGATTCCGATCCGATAATTTCCGACTTTGGAATAAGCTTTTTCCCTACAGTTTCCAAAATCCCAATTTCATTGGAATGAAAAGCGAATTAGGTTTTCTCTTTTTTTCCGAAACTTCTAATTTCGGTCCGATCTGTTCGATTTCCACTCTTAATCTTTAGTCATTAGTTAATATTGACAATAAAACACTACTCGAAAAATTTACAAATATCTTTATAAAATACACACTATGTTGCCTTCGCTACTACTGCTTATCTTCACTTTGATTGTACAGAGAAACTCAATCGACACGATTTGGAACCCCGCCAATATTTGTTGCGTACAATTCTCCGAATACTCCTCTCACTTAATGGCATTCGGATCCGCCGATTATAAAATCTACGGCTACGATTTGCGCCACACGAGAATTCCATGGTGCACGTTAGTGGGCCACGAAAATGCCGTTAGCTATGTGAGGTTTTTGGATCCGGAAACTATCGTATCCGCATCGACGGATAATACGTTGAAGTTGTGGGATTTGAAGAAAACAAGCTTAGAGGGATTATCCTCCAATGCTTGCAATTTGACCTTTAGTGGACATACTAATGAGAAGGTAAATTAGTTTTTACTTAAACCCATAAATTAATTTTAGTTTTACTCTATTTTTTTATTTTTTATTAATTTTTTTTTGGGTTTCTCTAACTTTGTATCTATCATGTATCTATCTATGTAGAATTTTGTTGGCCTGGCAGTGTTGGATGGATATATAGCTTGTGGTTCTGAAACTAATGAGGTGATTTTCTTCTTCTTCTATTATTACAAATTACAATGATGTATCCTATGGATGTATATATATATAGATATATTTAATTAATTGGAATATTTGTTTAGGTTTATGCTTATTATCGATCGTTGCCAATGCCGATTACTAGTCACGAATTCGGATACGTGGACCCCATATCGGGAAACGAGACCAGTGAAGGAAATGGGCAGTTCGTTTCGAGTTTGTGTTGGAGACGAAAATCACAAATGGTTGTTGCTGCGAATTCAAGTGGAAGCATAAAGGTATTAAAATTGGTTTGAAGACGAGTTCCATTTTTCGATTAATTGAGGAGATGAACGAACAACTTCCGTATGAATACGAATATGATTTTTTGCCCAACACTTGAATCAACCTTGAAGCTATTTAACTTACTAAAACGAGAAAACATAAGAGCAAAACCTTAGCTAATTCGAGTGCTAATTGACCTCTAAGTAGCACTCGTCGTCTCAATTGAAGAATCGGCCGACAATATTCTTTCCAAAGTGACGCCCGTGCTACCACGATTAGCAACAAATTTGTCGACTAAAACTTTCCAAGAATCGGATTTAATTTCCACTTACTAGAGGCAACAACATTAAGCACATTCGATATATCCGATTCGCATCCAGATTCACAAAGCCCTTTAATCAAGATAGAATAAGTCGATTCATTCGGAGGGCACCCTTTATCCAACATCTCCTCCAAAACCCTAATCCCTTCCTTCGCGTAACCCTTTTTGCAGAACCCTTTTATAAGCAAGTTATAAGTGAAAGAATTCGGGGGGCACCCCCTTTCCACCATGCAATCCCACAACCTCCCCGCTTCACACAACTCCCCTTTATCACACATACCCGCAATGAGTGTATTATACGTCAAAACACTGGGAATCGAACCCCTATCGAACTCATCAAACAACTTTCTCGCTTCCCAAATCTTCCCTTCGTTGCACAACCAATGTATAAGCGTGCTTAATATAGCATTATCTGGAGTACAATTCTTGATCAACAATATCGTCCACAAATCGCACGCTTTATCCACTTTCCCTTCTCTACACAACGCATCAATCACCCGACAACATAAACCAGAGCTAGGTACGTATTTCTTCTCGAGCATATCACTAATCATGTTCAAAGCTTCACCCGATTTATTTTCTTTACACAATGCCTCGATCATAACACTATATGTAACGTCGTTCGGCTCGACCCCATTTTCCTCCATTTCATCCATCACTTTCGTTGCATCGATAAATTTTCCCAATTTACAAAACCCGTCCATTAATACAGTGTATGTTGTTGCATCGGGCAACCACCCTCGATCTAGAAGCTCGTTGAAAGCTCTCTTTGCTCCCACCATATCGCCTCTATCCACATACCCGCCCATAATCGTAGTGTAGCTCACCACATTTGGAACCATAGCCATGCTCGGCATTTCATCGAGCACCTTAACTGCACCTTTGACGTCGTCCTTTTTACACAGAGCTTTCAGCAGTATATTGCAAGTGAAAACATTGGGCACAATATCGAATCTTTTCCGGCTGTTCTTGAACATAATGTGAACGGAATCGTATTTCTTGTTCTGAACTAGAGCGTTGAGCAGAGTGTTGAATGACCTAACTGACCTTTGAACACCAAAATCGTTGATTTGGAGGAATATTCTGATCGCCTCTTTGGGTTTGCTGGCAATGCCGTAGTTTCTGATAAGAGTGATGAAGAGATCTTCGCCGCATTTGGTTTGGGATTCGCGCAGTTCCTTCAATAGGGAGTTTATGGGTTCGAAGGCGCGGCGGCGGGAGAGCTTGTGGATGATGGATTGGTAGGTGTCGTAATTATTGCGAAAATTAGGGTGGTAATTGCCGGCGTAGTGGAAAATTTGGAGGGCGAGATCGACGTTTTGCTGCTGGGCGATGATGGAGCAGAGGCGCTTGGTGGTGAGCTTTTGGGGCCAGGGTTTGATCGGCGGTGTCACGGTGTATGACTTTACGAGTTCGGATTTCGATTTTATGTTAGAGAGTAGTTGTTCGTCGTGGTCCGCGGTGGTGGCTGAGTGGAAGCTTTGGGGGTATACGGCGGCGATGCGGCGGAGGGGGTGAATGTTCCGGTGTTTTATCATTGTGACGGTGGTGGCGGAGTAAAATTATTTTCTCAAAATTAAATCGGATTATAAATGCCGCTTTCTTAATTTCACCGATTTTAGTATGTAATTAAACAAACGACTCTCTCTCTCTCTCTCTCTCTCTCTCTCTCTCACACACACACACACATAAAAAAAAAGAAAAAAAGAAAAAATTAAAAATAAATAAAAATAAGTAGAGTAGTTAATATTCCTATTTTAACGTGAGTTGGCAGCATAACAATTCAATTCTCTGATCAAATAAAAACACGTGTCAACTCATGAGTGGAGTCCGTGATAGAAAAAAATGTACTATTAAGAATAAAACCACAACAACTAAAAGTCTAAAATATATTAATTTTGTTGTTCAATTCTCTCTTCACTTCAGGTACTCTCAATTGTATGTTTTTAAGATTTTGTTTTTTTTCTCTCATTACTATTTACTTACTCTTGTGATTAATTATTATTTGGTTGTGTGATTAGTATTAGTTCTACTTTTATTATTTGGCATATCATCAGATCTGATCTACATGTGGAAATCAGAACGAAATTTTCGATTTGGGAACGATGTTTCGTAGTCCAATTTCTGAAAAAATAAACGGAATCGGAACTCAATATAAAATTTTCGGAATTTCCAAATTCCGATCTAGAATAATTTTGAAAATTTCCATTAATTTTATCACAAAATTTCCAATTTTTTTTTGGATGTATTTAATAATTATTTTTCTATTGCGGATCGGGCCATAATTTATTTATTTTAATATAACTGTATTCCTGCATCTGCATGTTGTGTAACTTGTTATTTGTTTCTTTAATGTTGATGTGTTTGTAGGTACATCTATATATTCGGAGATAATTAAAAAAACAAAAATGGCAGCAGAAAGAGTGGCGGGGTACGAATACAACTATCGTATCTCGATCGACAATGGTATAGTTTTACGGTACAAATACAAACTCCATCGAGGAATGAAAACTCTCATGTTTGAGATCCAAACTAACTTCATCATCAAAACAACGGACGGTCAAGATCAAATCATGGACTCGGAAACGTTAGAATATGACTATGGCGGAATAGGAAAAGATAGTGAGTCGTTTCTATTGCGACTTATGTTAACTCACCGCATGCTCGATTATTGGATGACCGGTTACGAAACACCAACATTCGAGCTCGAGCTGCTTGATTTTGCCAGACAGGCGATGGCCAACCCGGAACATGATGCCTCTCGACGCATAATCCCAGTGCTAGTCAACTTTGAGGTCAGAACGGTCCAGCAGAAAGACAAGACAGTGGGGGCAGCCATGGACCGGGCGATCCGAGCCGAAAAGTTGGTCCAATTGAGGTTGAATGACCGTGATCGTATTCCTCGTGATATTTTAATGTTATCGAAGACTAGAGTTGTGAATGTTGACCAAGGATTAGGGTTGATGCCGTCTTCGTTTATTTTATTACCAAATGGGGATGTTAAATACATTGGTTTGATTCAATATTTTGTTTTCAAATTCTTTTCCAATTTGAATCGATCAAAGAACTTTCTGCGGCAATGGTGGACTAGAGTTGTGATATTTTAATGTTATCGAAGACTAGAGTTGTGAATGTTGACCAAGGATTAGGGTTGATGCCGGTTTGAAGGATATGTACGCGGGGCCCGAATATCGGTGGTCCCCGCGTGCGGACATGCTTTTCATACCCACAACTTTGTTCGATGGATGAAATACAACAACTTCTGCCATTGGTGGCGATGCTCCAGCATTTGATGATATGAGTGATTGGCTTTACAAGGAAATTGGGAAAAAAGATAGGCCGTCGCGATACCGGAAAATTTTTGACGGTGTTGGAAAATATTTATTAAACCGTAAAAGTTACGTATTTCAGCAAACCAACCGGTCGAACTACCGATGGAAGGCATCATCCCCTGTATTGCAGCAAAACACGTTCTTATTCGACACGGGAGTTAGCCCTTTTTATTTGGCTGTTCAAATCAACCAAATGAAGCAATTTAAGGCAACAGTTGAAGAATCCAAATCACAAGGTAATAATAATTATATCCATATATATATATATATATATATATATATATATATATATATATATATATATATATATATATATATATATATATATATATATATATATATATATATATATATATATATATATATATATATATATATATATATATATATATATATATATATATATATGTGTATATGTATATAAATGTCCATTTTTTTTAATATTTGTTGATACGAGAAACAAATCTTCCAGAACCGCATGCATATATTCGGAAGACCCACTCTACACAATCTACATCGCCCAGTATAACAAGCCAGGTGGATGACCAATTGACCATAGCACTACGAAAGGGGAGATTGGTAAAAAAACTGGCACAAATTAAAAATAGAAAATAGAAAAACGGCAAAGATTAATTGAGATAATAAAAATAGAAAAACGGCACAAATTAATTCCAAGTTTAACTCTAGAAAAAAAAACCGGCAATTAATCGGCACAAATTAGTCGCTTTTAAGAGTTGATAACTAAAAAAATAAGAAAAAAAAATCGCGGCGCCACTTCTCAACATCTTCCTTCCTCTTGCAGATACATGTTCTGCTCCATCTCCACCATATCGTATCTAAATAAAAATAAAAATAATAATAATGTAATAAATTAGAAAAGTAAAATTAAAATTGTTTTTTTACTTACTGTGGTGGCTTCTCTTCCTCTTGCAGCTACTCCATCTCCACCGTATCCTACCTAAATAAAAACATTATCGACAATCGTCCGATAATCACCCGCGCAAATGGGTGGACGACTCCCCAGAGATCTCTTCTCACGTGTCTGCTCTGCTCGAACCTCGTCACTCTAGCGATGGTTCGAGCATCCATATTCGTAATCAACGGTATTAGTAATGTGAGAAAAAATGCATAAACTTATATTGTTCACATTGAAGATAATGCTGTCGTTGTTGGGCTGCATATGTAGTGGTAAAAACTTGAAACAAATTAGGTTTTCCTCAAATGGTAAAAAAAAAATTTGATTCTTAAAGTTGTGTTGAGTACACCAACTTATGGAAGAGTGGTCACGTGACTCCTCTACTTTTATACTTTAAAATGACATTGGTTATTTGGAATTGGAGATCCTTTAATGACATTGTTATGTTCTTACATTTATGATTGTTAATTAATTTGGGCTGTTTCGATCATCTAATTTGCAGTTTGCTCAAGGAAATGGGATTCATGTATTGAGTAAGTATTTTGTTTAATTTGATTTTGCTTTTGCATGTTAGTTCTAATTTATTTACAAAAATAAATATTTGATCTTGAATTCTAAATAAAACACTTGAATTATTTTTTATTTGTTTTTTAAGTTTATGGTTTATGAATGTTGTTAATATATATTGTAACACCCTCCATGAATTTTAGTTAAAGAAGAAATATTTGAGTAGACATCATTAAAAATTTCGGATTCAATTTGAACTTTGAGAAAACCTTATCAAATCATTTTTCTTTACTTTAAATATACCCACAACTCAAAGTTACGATTTTCATAAAGAGTGCTACCTAAACATCATCGGGGTTTAGAAAACACTTGTAAGACAGCGGAAGGAAAATAAACTTGATTTAAATACCCCCGTTTAATAGACTAGATTCCTAAATCAGAGTAAAATATAATCATGAAAATCTCCAATTTTTGTACATAAGACCTTTTGTTTACATGTGAAAGTGAAAACATGATCTTTTACGAAATCCGGGTAAGACATGCAAGGCATCAAGGTTCGTGATTCCTCGAACTCCGCTCCGCTGCGCACTCTTATTACTTCGAGAACCTGAAAAGGGGAAATTCGCATAAAGCGTGAGCCCAACCACTGGCTCAGTAAGAACATTGGCCTGACGATACTCACGCCTCTCTCAACGTGTCACTCACGTCCTATAGGAGCCCTAAAGTCCTCGTCTCTATGTTCTTTCGTGTAGGGATAATCCTAAAGCTTCAACTATGTCCTCTATATTCAATTTATTCGTTTAGACCAAGACATTAGATCACATAAGTGAAAGCACATAACATCACATACAAATACAGTACTTATATTCTTCAAAATTAAGAACCACGAAGCATGAATATTATCATAAAACATAGTCGAACATATAGCTCTACATATAAACATATAATACTGTTTACCTCAATCTTGGTATATTGGACACACAGTCTGTTGGGTTTCGGGCACGCATACGCAGCGGAAAACAAAAATTAATGTGATTTAAACGACTTTAAAACACACAAGTACATGCCCGACAAATTAAATCAATTAATTGCGTACCTTTGCGCTTCCAGCGAAATTAAAAACAACATACATGCTAAATAATTTAACCGAATTTAAATCAATTAACATGCTCGCGTTTAAACCAATAATCATGCTTGCAAAGATTAAAACGATTACACATAATCACATAAAATCATACGACAGCAAACATGCATTCATAGTTTAAACATAAACGAATCGAAACTAGGGTTTCGTATATTTACCTCTTGAAGCGTGAGGTAGGAGCGTTTAGCAAGTCGAGATTGCTACGGAAACCAATCCGTACAATCGGGGCAGCAGCGGTGCAGCAGCAGCGGCGGTGAGGCGGCTCACGGCGGCGCGTGAATTTCACGCGCGGTCTTCCGGGGCGGCGCGTGGGGCAGCGTGCAGCTTCGGCTCGTGCGTTGCTCCTCGATTCTTCGATCTACAGTCTTCCTCCTCTCGGATTTCACCTCGTATACTTCGATCTACTAAACACGTGGCACTAGACACGTAATAGTTAGAAAAACAGAAGAAAAAGAGAAGGATAAACAATACCGAAACAATCGGCCAATGAATGGCCGATTCCGGTGAAGCTCCGGCGACGGCGGCGCGGTGGCCGAGGAGAGAGGGCCGAGAGAGAGAGGGTACGAGCGGCTAGGGTTAGGGTTAGGTCTTGTGTTTTGTGCAAGGCCTATAAATCAAGTATTTATAGTCCCTTGCATAAAACCCTAGCGGGCTTAAGTTGGACCGGGCCCAACAGCTTAAGTTCGTTAGTATCTTTACTTACTCGTCTCTCTCAATTCAATGACCGAAAAATTGCAACGATTACATTTTCGGATTCATTATAACTTCCTCGTCATTACGAGTGCCATCTCTCATTTTCCAACTTTCCAAAAGTGGAAACCCTAGTTCAGTGCACTTTCTAAATTTGGAAACTTCCCGATTTAGAAAGTTCACTAATATGTTCGCCTATTCTTTTCCTTTTCTTATTCTCATTCATAATTCCAAATTACGAATGTTGGACTCAATCATATTGACTTCCAATCATGCAAAGATAAACTATTTTATCTCTGACCGTTTATTCAAAGATCTCATATGCACGAGCAGTGTGACCCTCGATGGTTCAGGTGTAAGCTAGCCGTGGGCCCACAACTCTTTGTGGTCAAAACTCGTCCCTTAGAGTTACGATTAAGATGAAGCTCGTTTCACCTTAATCACCCAACGAATCAAGATTGGCGTCTAGCAACTACGCGTCATGATTCCCTAGATACAAATGAAGTGCCTGCAAGAACCTTCAGATATAGTTAACGTACAGTACGGTCCCTTCGATACATATGTCCCGATCGAACTAGAGGCATTGGTTCATCGAGACCTCTTTATATGTTCGATGACGGTGCGATCGTTCCAAGTGTTGTAATCGTCACGTACATGACTTAGAGAATCGAATTCTCTAATCATCACTTAGTCAGCTCTGGCCAGAGACTTAGAATGATCACAAACTTTCAGAAACACACAGGACATCCAAGACTATTCTAGCGATCGAATCCCCGACTACAATGCACAGACCTCCCACTAGATTTCGGACTGCACGAACACTGGCCCTTGGGATGGTCCTCGGTGGAACTCAGGGACAGGTCACGATACAGCTGGTCCTCTAGTGAAGTCACGGTGATGTCTAGGTCATAAGGACTAATGGTGTACAACTATACCATAGATATCTCTACTCGATTATTGGGAACCACTTAGAGATTTCTAGGGTGAGGGAGTTCAGTGAACTCGTCAACTTACGAGCACCCACTTATGCATGCCGATATCACAATACCGTTTACTGATGAGATGCAGTACACATACACTAAGTGCTAGTCTTAATGGGAAAGGCCGATATCCTCATTAGTGGCGTAACCCTTCGACTAGGAACACGTTTAACAGTTATAATACTTGAGTAAATATCTCACGATCCTAACGATCAATTACTAGTACTTGTAATAACTGTAAGGACTATATCTATGCTTGTGACAAAGGGACAAAGATATAGAATGCCAAGATGTTTTATCATTAATACGAATAAAGGTTCGTTTATTACAATAATAAATACGAAAGACCACAGCCACATGTTGGCTTGTTGGTCACCTACTCTAACAATCTCCCACTTGACCTAAAGCCAACTACCCATAAATCGCAATCCCATCGACTCTCGATGTTTCTCATGGACCGATCTCGGTAAAGGCTTCGTGAAGGGGTCTGCAACGTTCTCTTCCGAGGTGACTCGTTCAACCTTAACTTCACCTCTATCAATGATCTCTCGGATCACGTGATACTTCCTCAGAATATGCTTCGACTTCTGATGAGATCGTGGCTCCTTAGCTTGCGCCACGGCTCCGGTGTTATCACAGTACAACGGTACTGGATCACTAGCATCAGGAATGACACCCAACTCTTGGATGAATTTCCTTATCCAAGTCCCTTCTTTTGCAGCTTCGGACGCTGCAATGTATTCCGCTTCGGTAGTGGAATCGGCCGTCGTGCTTTGCTTGGAACTCTTCCAACACACGGCACCACCATTCAGCGTGAATATAAATCCAGAATTCGACTTTGAGTCGTCCACGTCCGATTGAAAACTAGAGTCAGTGAAACCCTCTAATTTCAACTCGGCACCCCCATAGACCAAAAATATATCCTTAGTCCTTCGCAAGTACTTGAGGATATCTTTCACGGCTTTCCAGTGAGCCGGGCCGGGGTTAGACTGATATCTGCTTGTGACACTCACAGCATACGCAATATCGGGTCTCGTACATAGCATGCCATACATTATGCTTCCTATGGCAGAAGCATAGGGCGTCCTTTTCATCTCCTCGATCTCACTAAGTGTGTGCGGACCCATAGATTTCGAGAGACGAACCCCATGGG